GTACATAGAGTTTCCAGAGGCAAGCCATTTTGGAAGTGGATGCCGCTCCTGCTTCCAGGCTTGATTTAGTCGGGAAGCTCCAGCCACCACTGTCCACCATGGGTGCCCATTACCACGATTGGCACATCACTGTCACGGGCTTCAGCATCACAGCAATCACGAGTTACCTCTGTACAGCAATGCACAGACCAGTGCTATACCACCTAGAAGAATGTGGTATAGGCCCAGGCTGGCTAGCCTCACTCCAGAGACAGAGCAAACCTGCACGTCAAACACATTCCCGGAAAAGCAGTCCACTCCAAAGCTTGCCACGATTCCTGCACTCCCCACCACCACGCTCCTGCCTTCTGGCAAGGAGAGCTTCCCACGAGCCTGTGAAGGCGCCAGCCAAACCAGGAACAACATGACCGCTTCCTTCCCAGCTTCTTTCGGCTTAAGGCCGCCTCCTGGTTCAAACCCTACACCCAGGCTGGCTAGCTAGCCTCACTCCAGGGACAGAGCAAACCTGCACGTCAAACACATTCCCGGAAGAGCAGTCCAACTCCAAAGCTTGCCACGATTCCTGCACTCCCCACCACCACGCTCCTGCCTTCCGGCAAGGAGAGCTTCCCACGAAGCTCTAATAGTAGGAGAAGATTAAACAGTATTTTATGTGTAACTATTACTCATACTGTGTTGATATAGAAAGCTTGGTATTTTTAGGCACTTTTATGCAGAGTTTTAACACTGGTCAAAGAGAGTTAATATCTATGTAAAATATAGTGTCTGAGTGTCAATCAAAAATAGGGTATTTTTCTACGGAGTAGCTATTGTTGTTATGTGCTGTAGAGTTTCCTTTGACTCATAGCGACCCTTTATACAGCCAGTTGGAAGTCTGCCCTGTCCTGAGCCAATCTTACTGACTCCCACATGCCTACCCCTATTACCACAGTTACTGTGTCAATCCATCTCATCCTCGGTCTTTCTCTCCTGTGCTATTCTACAACACCTCCAGACATGATGTCTTTCTCCAAGCACTAGTCCCTCCTGGCCCCTTGCCTCCAAAGGAGAAACTTGATTTCACCCTCTCCAAGATAGACTTGTTTGTTCTCTTGGCAGTCCATGGTATGTGCAGTACTCTTATCCAGCACCACAACACGAAAGCATTGATTCTTCTTCTGTCATCCTTAGTCATTGTCCACCTGTCTGATGCATAACAAGTAATTGTGAAGACCATGGCCTGGTTCAGGCTCACCTTAGTCCCTAGACTGACATCATTACATTTTAGGACTTTGGAGAGATCTTGACAGCACACTTACCCTGTGTAATTTGTGTTTTGATTTCCTGACTACTGAGGCCAAGAGTGTTGATTGTGTAGCCAAGCAACCTGAACTTGTTAACAACTTCAGTCTATCCTTATGCTTCCAATTGGCCCAGTGGTGAGAATCTTTGTTTTCTTGATGTAGAATTTAAAATTTTCATGGACTGCAAACTATGTTGCCTAGGAGGATCAGTGAACTCATGAAACTATTAGCTTGAAGTGATCTTTAAAGCTTAAACCATAAATATCCACCGATTCATCTTAAAATCCAACATTAATATATGTTGAGTATTACAGAAGTTCTTACTTGAGCATTATGTTCTTATAAGAACAACAGCAACTGGAAAGATTAGAGAGAAACCTTAGTTTATAGTAATGAGGCAGGAGTGAGTCAAAACAAGATAAACATGGTTATATAAGTTGAGAAATAATATTTTTCATGTAGAAACTGTGTAATGAGCATTTTTTTTATTTTACTCTTATTTATTTACAAAGTTTGTATACATTGTTTTTCACAAAAGATTCTTTCCATTTCCTTCACCCCATCCACTCTGTGTATTACCTCACTATTGACAATAAAATAAACACATGCATTCAAATTTTATAAATAAAATAGTATAATAATAAAAAGATTAAAAAATAAATAAGTACACTTTAGGAGAAGAAAGCAAAATAACCAAGTATTGCTTTAATCTTTCATTAAGAGCTCACCACTTATGTTAGCAAGATGGAAAAAATCAACATTTTATGGCAAGGAAAGAGGCCTTTTCTATATAAACAGTGCATAAATAAAAGAGTATAGTAGGAGGCCTCACACTTTCTGATCTCAAACTTTGTTGTGTAGCCATGGTTCTGGTATGAAACTGCCGGGTACTGACATAACAAGAGAAACAAATGGAACAAAATGGAAAGTCAAGAAGTAAATTTGTCTACCTGTGGACAGCTGATCCTTGATCAACGGTCAAAGTCCATTAAATGGAAACGAGTTAGTCTTTTTAATGAATGATGCGGGCAAGATTTTATATCTGTGTGCACAGGAATGCAGTAAGTCTGTACCTCCTGCCGTACATAAACTAACTAAAAATGTATGACAGAGTTAAATGCAAAACCTAAAACTATAAAACTCATGGAAGAAAATTGAAGACAACAAGCCCAAGAGCCCTATTTTATGGCATAACTAGACCATCAAATGTAAAATTTTTTTAAAAAGTACAAATACAGAATATAAACAAGGGAATGAGGACTACTTGAAAATTAAATATCAGTGGTCATAGAAAGACTTTCCCAAAAAAGAGTAGAAAGAAATGTATAGACAGGCATTTTGACACTGACTTACCTGACAAATGTCTAATCTCTGAAATTTTTACAAAACATCAACACCTCAATAACAAACAAGCCAATTAAAAATAGATAACGTGAACAGATAGTTCACTAAGGAAGACACTCAGGGCTAAGCAGCTCATGTAAAGATACTTGTGGTCATTAGCCATTAGATGCTTTCACATCAGAATTCCAGTGAACCTTTCCCACCATCTTGGAGCCTGTGAACAGGTGTTTTAAACCCAGAAATGGCCGGAATGCTGTGGTACAAGCCCACTTGGGTTAGTTATAAACCAAGTCTTCAGAATCAGAGGGAACACATAGCATTTTTTAGAATTGAAGGTGTTTATGCCCAAGATGAAATGGAATTCTGTTTAGGCAAGAGATATGCTTATGTTTACAAAGAAAAAAACTACCGTGACTTCTGGTGGTAAGTCTAACAAAACCAGAGTAATCTACGGAGAAGTGACTTGTGCCCATGGAAACAGTAGCATGGTTCGGGACAAATTGGAGCAACATTCCTGATAAGGTCATTGGACACAGAATGCATATAGGACTGTATCCCTTGAGGATTTAAACTTACAGATTTACTAAAACCTCAACAGCCTACAAAAAACTATAGTGGGATATGATCACTTCAGAAAAATGGAACTTCTTAACAAAACCAGAGAACAGCAGATTACCTTTGAAGAGATTAGTATTCCTACACACTGCTGTTGTGACTGTAAAATGGTACAGTATTCAGAGAACTTCCAGAAGTTCGAGCTGGCTTTAGATGGAGAGTGGGGGGATACAGTGTTTTCTTAGCAAGAGATTGAAAAGACTATGGCCTGAATCAGGCATTCCTTAGTCTTCAAACAGATGTCATTGCTCCTCACCATCTTAGAAGCAGCGACTAGTCTCCCTATCTGAAGCAAAGGAGAATAAAGGCAATCCTAGACTCAAGGTAGTCTAATAGATTAATGACATAACAAGGGAAAAGAAAATCCAAACTCATTCCTCCCAAGATGGCTCAGACTCATAGTAACCCTCCATTGGGTTTCTGAGGCTGTAAATCTGTGTGGAGAGAAACTGCCTGTCTTTTTTTTTCCCCCCAAGGAGCAGATGGTAGATTTGATTGTTGACTATTCACTTAACAGCAAAACACACAAGCCTCTATTCTGCCCGAATTTTTTAATGACACAGTCACCTTACTCATTGCTGTTAAGTCAGAACTGACACATAGCTCACTCTACAGTGGGCTGTCAAGACTGTACTTCACACAGGAGGAGACTGCTCCTCTCTCTCCTGCAGAGCAACTGATAGACTCAAACTGCCAGAGAGAAACAGCTTTCAGGTTAGCAATACAACTCCATAGAGATTAGAGCATAAGAGCTCAGCCTCTTCTAATATGAGGCCAGAATAACTAGAAGGTATTAAAAGAATGAGAGGAACCCCCAAGACTGCTGCCCTAAGACATCCTCCTAACAAACTTACAGTCTTAGAGGCTGCCTTTCAGCCACATAATAGATGGGTCTAGCAAATAATTTTATGGATTGTAAATTTCCATATAGAGCATCTCAACATAAAAAAAGACAAAAATCCTCATCAGTGGACCAGGAAGTATCATCATGATAAATGGAGAAAAGATTGAAATTGTCACTGATTTTTGTCTTACTTGGATCCACAGGTCCCTGCAGTCAGGAGATCAGGAGATATATATTACATTGGGAAAGTTCCCTGGTCAGGGACCTCTCCAAGGATCAAGAAGCTTTATCTCATATACTTTGGACATGTTGCCAGTAGAGGTTATTCATTAGAAAGGGACATCATGTTTGGAGGGTCAGCAAAAGAGAAGGAGATCCCCAATGAGATGGATTTACAGTGACTGCATCAGTGGATCAAGGACGTTAGAGACGATGAGGATGGCATAGGTTAGGCCAGGGTTGAGGTCAATTATTCGTAGGATTGTAATGAGTTGTGCTCAACTCGACAGCAGCTAAAAACCACCACCACCTCCACCATCTAAAATAATAACACCTTGGGCAAATGTGCTCCTCAGAATAATCAGCTCTGTAAGACCAAAAGTGCAATATTTGTCCAAACCCACAGATGATAGTAAGTCAGAAGGAAGGACAGGAAGACCAGAAGAGGGAGATAGGTCACCCTGAGAGGAAATAGAGAGAATGCTGACACTTTATGGGATTGTATCCAATGTCAAGTAACAATTTGTATATTAGTTATTGATTAAAAAGCTAATTTACTGGGTAAACTTTTACCTATGGTGACATCAGTTAGGGCCCTTGGAAGCAGCTTGGCCTGCAGTGAGCACAGCACTGCATGACTGCTCCAGTTGGGGCAGATGCTATTAGAGAGTGTTAATTGACAAAGTCTATGCATATTTTTGTTACATTTTTCTCCCTTAGTTTTTCAGATGATTACTTGAAATGGATATGTGGTCCAATAAAAAATATTTTTCATTCATTAGAGGTTATTAGAGAGGCTTTCATGTACAAGATGTTTTATGGGCTGGAAAACGGCAATAAGATAGAATCCTTTGTCCTCTGGTAACGCAGTGGAAGAAAGCAAGATATGTATACATGTATATACAAATTTAGTGATCTCAGTTTGAAGACTAAGGTGCTTCTGATTCAGGTCTTTTCAGTCACTTGCTATGTGTCTGAGATCTTGACAGTGAATAAGGTTGACAGAAAAAGAATTGATGCCTTTGATCTGTGATGTTGGAGAATCCCATAGATTACCAAAAGAACAAACAGATATGTCTTGGAGAAGGTGCAGTCAGAGGGCTCTGTGGTGGCAAAAATGATAAAGCTTCATCTCACATACTTTTGGCATGTTGCTAGAAGAGACTATACCTTGGAGAGAGACATCATTCTTGCAAAAGTGGAGGGTTGGAGAAAGAGAGGAAGACCTTCAACCAGGTGGATTGACATAAGTGACCGCTGCAGTGGGCTCAAATATGTCAGAAATTATGACAGTGGGACAGGACAGGATTCAGATTTGTTGTTCATGAGGTCACTGTGAGTTTGTCTTTGGCTGGATAGAACCTAACAACAATAACGTGTAAATTGTTATCCTAGATCATCTATGTACCTATAACCATTGCTTTATGTACTTAAATTTGTGTTTTATTAGAAGCTGTATAACTATAATCAGAAGCAGCTTGCTTTAAAATAATGACAACAAAAACAAAAAACCTCTAAGAATTGATTTGTTTAGGTTTCTGTAATGACTAGCCTCTTCACAGTACCTTCACAATAGCTTTCTTAAGGAAATACACCATTTTGATGTCACTATTAATAGTTTTTATTTTGGTTGTCAGTAAGTATTATAAAATATGCTGTAAGAACACATCTTATGTGGTTGTACGTCATTCACTATTCCTTTGCATTTGACAGGTTATTAAAGAAAGTGGACCACCTCACATGAAAAGCTTTGTCACTCGGGTGTCAGTTGGCGAATTCTCTGCAGAAGGAGAAGGAAATAGCAAAAAACTCTCTAAGAAACGTGCTGCGACCACTGTTTTGCAGGAGCTTAAAAAACTTCCACCTCTTCCTGTGGTTGAGAAGCCAAAGTTATTTTTTAAAAAACGCCCTAAAACCATAGTAAAGGTAAATACATACTTGAAAAAGTTACTTGTGTTTTGTACCATTGATTGAGAACTGATTGATAGCTGTCACTCTTAGATTTTCAGAGGCAGTAAATTGCACAGGAGGAGATTTCCCATCCTTCTCCCCCCCAAATCCTTTAGTTTTACTAAATAAGAATTATTGTAGCTGTTGAAAAAAGTTTTTTCATAAGGTGGTGGTTGTTGTTGTGTACTGTTCAGGTGGAACCAGCTGACCCTCCAGCAGGTTTTCAGAGGCAGTTAACCTCACAGGAGGAGATTGTCCATCCTCCTCCTTTCATAAGGTGGTTGGTGTTCATTGCCTTTGAGTTGTTGAGCACGACTCATAGCCACCCTAGAAACAAAAGGCTTGAAGCCTTCCTTTAACTATTGTCATTTATCAAAGTTCATAGAGTTTCCAGAGGCATATTGTTTAGGAAGTGATTTCACTCCTTCCAATTTCATAAAGCAGGAATCTAAATTTTTAGGTTATGTACAGCATATGTGACTTCATATAAGTAGAATTCTATTTTTATGATTTTGAAGCACCTGTGTACTTGTGTTATATCCCGGGGTGGCTCAAGCAGTTTATGATTGGCTGCTAATCTAAAGGCTGATGGTTCGAATCCACCCAGTGGTTCCGTGGAAGAAGGGCCTGGTGATCTGGAAAAGACAAGAGCCAAGAAAATCCTGTCACTCTTGGTAGATTTAGTTTCAGTGTTTTATACCTGAATTTGTCCATCAAGTAATAGTAATAACATATACATCTGTAGGGTATTTTTTTTTGGGCGGGAAAGAAAGTTTAAAAATCACTATCTGCCATACCCCCTAAAAGTACCTTCTCATTAATGATGTCTTTTGTGTAATGTTTATCAGGGTGTAAGGTAGGTATTCCTCATTTTGCAAATAAGTTTTTTCCAAATATATTTAAATAATTTTTCACTTTTATTCACCTGCTAGGTGGAATACTGTGACAGCTTTTCTAATCTCATGTTCTCTCTGTACCCTACACTGCTCCATAGTAATCTCTTAGTGACACCAAGTAGTAACAGAATACGGAGTAATTAACTGATCATTTGAATATTACTGATCACAGTGACAGCAGTGGGGCTGTTCCCCAGCACTCTGTGTGCCAGGCTTTGTCCCAGCACACTGTGTGCCTTTAATCCTCATGGCAACCCTTGAAGGTACAAGGTGTGATTTTTGTCCGCATTCATTCCAGCATGTGTACCTTGCCAAAGAAGAATATATACATACATAACACATACCTTTTCAAAAATGTTAGGACTGTTTTTTTATGAGTTTAGATTTTATTTATACTTGAAAAAGGCAAAGGCAAGATGATGAATCAGCCCTTAAGATAGTGTCCGTGTTTATACATGACACGAATTATGCTAGAGTTCTCCACATCTAGAGAAATCCTAAAAGTGCTGCAGTATCAATTGCAAGCTCTTCCTGTGACTCTGCACATTGAAGGTACAGGCACTAATTATCTGCACTCAATTTTTAATGTTTAAACTGTACTGCTGCATAATTTAGATATTTCTACAAATTTTTACCTTTGTGTCTTTGCTCTTCTTAGGAGTGCATGCACAAACATTTGTTCCTTTTAATGAACATTGCCATTAAATCACTGAGATTATTTAGGCTATGTGTTTTTGGAAATATAATTTTCTATATTAAGTAGAGTAAATGTAATTGGCAGATATAGACAATGAGTTATAATGGTTCTGGAAAATCTGGTTGTCATTGTTATGCTTTAATCTTACAGCCATGTGAATAGGACATGGCTAATAAAAGCATTACCCTTGAGAGAAAGAGAAAAGCATTTACTATGGGGTTGATTCTGAGTTTGAATCTCTGTTACGTAGACAAATTGCTTGACTTTTCTAATATTTTAAGTTTCTTAATTTATAAAAAAGAATAATTTTACTCATTTCATAGGATTATTGTATTCACTGAGTTAATACAGGGCATCCATTAATAGCTATTGTGCACTTACTGTGGACGTTAAGGGAGCTGGGCCACTTGATCCAAAAGCTTACCTCTTGGTCAGTTCAGATCTCCCTGTGGCTTTGTGAGCTAAAGCTGAGCAGTTGCCTACATGATGTATGACAGCCTTGGAAACACAATGGAGGATCAGCTATGAGTTTGTTCTGATTTGATAACAATGAGTTTGACTTGTTTTTTGTTGCTTAAAAGAATAATGAAGGACTTTAACTATTAACTATTAATTTTAATATTGTCTACTCACTTTTTATGTTTGTGAATATAGCAGTGATGTGTTTTCTTGAATCTTTTATAAAATGCCTTTTCAGTAATAGAACAGCAGGGATTTACATCTCTGGCAGCATATCTAGTTAATAATTATTTCTGCCTTCTCTATTCAAATAATCATAATCTTAATAAATCAAGAGCAGGGAATTAGTTCTCCCCCTTCCCGCCCTTGTACTGTTGAGTCAAATCCAACTGGCACAGGAAGAGATTTGCTCCTCCTTCTCCAGCGGAACGTCTGGTGGATTTGAACCACACTCTTTGCAGCTGCTTGCCACTTGGCCACCCTGAACTCCTTACGAACAGGGAAGCATTTCTGTTGTCGATATAACTTCAACTCATTGCTTTTAACTGTAGTAATGAAAGCAATGCTAGGTATTTGAAAAATATTATTCTCCAGAGCAGAAAAACATGAATTCTCAAAGTTACTTGCTGCTGCTTCTAGTGTATAAGCATATTATTCCAGAACTTCCTTCTTAACCATCATTCAGATCTCAGCTTCAAATTGACTTTTTTGGGGAAGTCTTTGCCAGTCCTCCCCCACGTTCACACTATGTAGGTTAGTTCCTGCATTTTTCCTCACATACATCACATTTGGAATAGCTTGTGCCAGGTCTGTCTTGTGTTAAAATAAAGACTATAGATATCTTCTGAAATGTAAGGTTACTTTGGAAAACAACATGCATATAGTGAGTTGGAATCTAGATAATTTTAATATGAATTCTTTCCACTATGCCAATAAATGCATCAGTTGGAATGATACCTAGAGTTTCAACATTTTCTTCTCTTCTTTGCATGTCTTCAGTATCTATGATTATAGTTTCTTATATTAGAAGTTGAGAAAGTATCTGCTGGTGATTTGCCTTGATTTTATTTAAAATAATAAAGGTAGAGTATTATCTTATTTGGCCCACTTAATCACTTTCTGATGTAGCTCTTACTTCAATTTTATAGATTAAATACATCCAAGAATATATAGTCTGTTTTCATATCAGTCATCTCAGATTCCAGTGCTTTTTTGGAACTGATTGTGAAATCTGGATTTTAAGTTTTGCCTCTGCTGAATTATTCTATTAAAATATAAAACTTTCTGTTGATGTCTTTGAGTCCTTTATTCCAATTTTTAATGTAGCTCATTTCTTGAAGATGATACTTTAAAAAGCCTTTCCAGTGTTGGAGATAAACTTTTCTGGAGACAACTGTTAGAAGATTGTCTTTACTTCTTTGCAGGAATATTGTTGAGACTATTGCTAACACTTTTACTGCCCAGGCTCCTCATCCTTTTGTGTGGTACCCGAGGAGTGATTAATTGCCAAGAGTTCTAGTAATTTCAGTCACAGGAAGAAAGCAACCAAACCTAATGTTCTCAGAACTTCCTTACTGTCAGAGTCATTCAGCAAATTCTTTGTCACTGGCATCTATATCAACAACAATTTCTTTGGAATTGGGAGGTGTTCTTATAAGAGACACATGTGCTTAACATAATGTGCACAACATAATGGTGATGGAGTTATTTATTTGATCATCTTAATGAACAAAGCATTGGAGTTTAAAACTCAAACTTATAAATTACTATTTGAATGTTTCTTTTGTCATAAATTCTCCTTCATTTCCTTTATAATTTATTTTTTTGTCACATATATGCAAGTATAAATAAGTATTTATTAAAAACCTGAAAGTCTCCTTTGTCATCTCCGCTTGAACTAACCAGTCCTAGACTGGCATTCTCAGTTTTGCCCTCTGTTTCTATCTACCTGATTATCTGTTCTCCTGAGATGATTGCCATGCAACTCTTTTGTGGTCTATTCTGCCTATTAGACATTTTTACATAATATTTAACTTTTTGTCTAAAATTCACCCTCTTCCTTTCTAAGCCTGCCTCTCCTCCAGCATTCCTCATCTCAGTGACTGGTGTTGCCTCCCACCTGCAAGAACGGAAAACTGGGAGTCATTTTTAGCTTCTCCTATTTTTTTTTAACATCTTTTTAGTCATCAGGCCCTTTCAGTTCTATCACCCATCATGTTTTTAAAACTGACTCATACCTTACAATGCTTTCTGCCATCCTTTTGGTTTAACTCATAATCATTTCTTGCTTAATAGTTGCCATTGAATCAGTTTGAGCTCTCATGATGACCCTGTGTGTGCCTAGCAGAGTGCTAGTTCTGTCTTCTGACATGCCCTTGGGTAGTTCAAACTGCCAACCCTTTAGGCTAGAAATTTTGCTTTCACATCATCTGGAGACTCCTCAACTGCAGTTTAGAGTTTTTCTATTTTCTATTGTGCTTATGATTTGGAATGCCTTTAGAGATTTCTGAAATGGACATATTCAAATGTTTACTTCCAAAATAGTTACATATTATGATAGATACTGTCCCACTGCCTTTTCTTATTTTGTGGTCTGTATTTTGTTGCTTTGGGCTTCTTGCCTACTCATTACTTAGATAACCCATTTGTATTATCCTTAGGAACAAAAGCCCGTATTTTTACTGTTAATTTTCTCCCTTCCTCCTCTGTTTTGAGGCCAGAAAATGAGTATCACTCAAACAGTCTAGTAGGTAGCTAATTTCTTTCATATAGGACATTTTTTAGAACTTACTTCAGATCCAAGATTATTTTTCTAGATCTCTGCCTTAGGTCATAAGTTTTGGCAGTCTGTTGGTTGTGAAAGAGATCATTGTGATTTAAAATGTATTTTCCAAGTCCTGGTGAGATTCTCAATCTCTTCATATGTTTTTTCAGTAAAATATGTGTTCATTTATTGTGCCCATTTTTTCACTTAGATTATCTTTTTTCTGTTTTTTTATAAAAAACTAAAATTTTTATTTTATGCTGGTATACTTACAAAATTCGTATATATTGTTTTTCACACTGGATCTTATCCATTTCTTTTATCCACCCTTCCCTTCACCCTTCAAATTTTGTGACCCTATGATTAACCACCTTACCCACATCACCCTACACCCTTGTCCATCCTCACCACTCTGCTCCCCTTACCCCCGTGGATTGATTCTCATACATGTTCTACAATAATAGTCTTATATAGTATTTGTCCTTATGGGACTGAATTAGTTCACTTAGCATAATGCTCTGTAGTCCCTCCCAAGTTAGGAACTAATTTACAAAATCATTGCTCCTGAGTGCTGTGTAGTATTGCATTGTGTTAATGTACCAAAATTTCTCAATCCATTAGATTGTGCTTGGACATTTGGACTGTTTCCATGTTCTTTTTATGGTGAATAATGCTGCTATGAACATTGGTGTACACCACTCCATTTGGGCCCCTTGTCAGAAATGGTATTGCCAAAGGTTTTTTCCCATGTCTGTAGCTTTTTCACTCTGTTGGAATATGTCTTTGATGTACATAGGGATTTAATCTTTAGAAGGTCCCATTTATCAATAAAATATAATCTTGTAGCCACTGAAACAAATATTATAATGTAGCTCTATCCCATTTGTTTGCTTTATGACATATTTCTATGAAATCTGCTTGACTAGTAGATCCTGGGTGTAACAAATGTTTGTTTGGATACTTTTATATTGGAGTTTAGGATTATAATAGAGTTTTCTGTTATGAGTTAGACTTTATACACTGCTGAAGTAAAAATTACACACCAGAACAAGAGCCGCGAGAGCATAGTAGGGACAGTTAGCATTACAGTTCCTATTAGTAGGTGCAAGATAATGGGTGGGAAATCAGATTTTATTTTCTTACTGCTTCTTACCACTTGTGGATTTAGTGAAGTTCAGGCATCATTTCCCCCCCATGTTACTTGTGCTATTCTTATAGTCAGTTTCCAAAAAAGACAAAACATTCAATTGCCTAAGAAACTAACAAACCCTAGTTTTATTGAATGATTTCTCTGTGGGCAGCTTTATGGTAGAGCATAAGACAGTGTCTGTGTTGTCAGTGCTCAAGCCTCAAACACTTGAGATTTGCGTTTTTCTATCTTTTTTCTTAATACTTTTTGTCATTCCTTTTAGTTGTATGTGTTGGAAATATCTCTTATTTTGTGACTTGTCATTTGTCATTATTTTTAGTGTTTTTTGATGAATAGACCTTGCGAAGCAGTTTGCTATACTGAGGTGTTTAGTCAGTTTTAAAACCATAATTGACTTAATAACAGTATTTCTAAAACTCAGATGTTAATGAAGCACTAGGTTCATGTCCATTTAAAATTTTTCCTTAGGAAGTTTTCTAAGTATCTTCTTCAGTCATATAGGGTGAAGGTGTGGGAGTAGAGGTGGGAAGAACCACTGTTTTTTTAAGAATCCATTAACCAGTTTTACAAGCATATTTTGTACTTTTTCTTACATGATTTTTTTAGGCTGGACCAGAATATGGTCAAGGAATGAACCCCATTAGCCGACTGGCTCAAATTCAGCAGGCCAAAAAGGAAAAGGAACCAGATTATGTTTTGCTTTCAGAAAGAGGAATGGCCCGGCGTCGAGAATTTGTGATGCAGGTAACCTTTTCTGGATTTTATATGAGAATATTTTTTAAACTATTGAAAAATTTAGAAATCTTCAGTTTAGAATAGAGTAAAAAGCAAGTAATAGTTAATGGCAGAAAGTAAAGCTGTGTTTACATTTGAAGCATTCATTCACAACATGCCTACCTGCCAATTTGGTGGAAACATCCAAGTGTCAAGGACATGTAAAGATAGACACATGAGTTTTTGAAGGAACTGTGAGTTCATGCAGGTTATTTACAACAGAATTTATCACTTAGATTTAAAATCCCTATCTCTAGCTTTTTTTTTTTATGTGTTACAATTTGCAGCTGGAGTCTTTTAACTTTTGGGAATTGAATACAAATGGAATTAGACATAAAATTCAGAAGAATGGATGTACTAGATGGAACAGGGCCAAGAACATAGGCTCTTGACTCTAAGAATTAAGAAAAGAAAGCCAGCTGACTCGTTTGCCAGGGTGAGAACTGAGGACACAGAATTGAGGCTTCTTCTCTCATACTTTGTCCTTGGACAGGGATATCATGCTTGGAAAGATGGAGGGTCAGCAAAAGAAAAGAAGACTCCCCAGTGAGGTGGATTGACACTGTGGCTGTAGCAACGGGCTCAAGTGTGTCAGAGATAATGATGATGGCATGGGAGAAGACAGAGTTTAGATGTTATTTGTAAGATTGCTATGAATCATACTTGACTCGATGGCAACTAACTAAAACAACAATTGCTGCATTGTATAGTTAAGAAAACAGAATAGTGACTTTTAGAGGAAGAATGCTTAAATTGCTTTATTCCTTTTAAGATTCTATTGCTTTTTTTGCCAACTCTAGCCCTAGTTTTGAAGAAAGTTTGCTTTTGACTTTATATTGTGAAAATTTTTACATATCCCATAGTAGAGACTAAAATGGATTCCCATTCTACTCATTACTCACATGTAGTAATTACTAAGATTTTCTGCCACATTTGTTTTACCTATCACTTGAATAACCAGATAACAGATGTTGCCCTGGATGTGCTCACCAAGTTGTGCCAAGAAATCTGGAGAACAACCACTTGGCCAACTGACTGGAAGAGATCTGTATTTGTTCCCATTCCAAAGAAAGGTGACCCAACTGAGTGTGGAAACTACAGAACAGTGTCATTGATTTCACATGCAAGCAAGATTCTACTGAAGATTATCCAAAAACGATTAGAACAGCACATCAGCAGAGAATTGCCGGAAGTCCAGGCTGGGTTTAGAAGGGGTCGTGGTACTAGGGATATCGTTGCTGATGTTAGATGGATCTTGGCTGAAAGCAGGGGATACCAGCAGAATGTCTATCTGTGTTTCATTGATTATGCAAAGGCATTTGACTGTGTGGATCATAACAAACTGTGGCTGACTCGGAGAAGAATGGGAATCCCAGAACATTTAATTGTGCTAATGTGAAACCTATACTTGGACCAAGAGGCAGTAGTCAGAACAGAGCAGGGTAACACTGCATGGTTCAAAATTGGGAAGGGTGTACGCCAGGGATGCATCCTGTCTCCATACCTTTTCAACATGTATGCAGAGCAGATTATCCGAGAGGCTGGGCTCTATGAGGAGAATTGTGGCACCAGGATTGGTGGAAGATCTATTAACAATCTGCGTTATGCAGATGACACAACCCTGCTTGCTGAAACTGAGGAGGACCTCATGCACTTGCTGCGAAGGGTCAAGAAGACAAAGATTCTCACCACTGGACCAATTGGCAGCGTTAGATGGATGGTGAAGAGATTGAGATTGTTCACAGCTTCAGTTTGCTTGGCTCCACAGTCAACACTCTTGGCACCAGCAGTCAGGAAATCAAAAAGCATATCGCGATGGGAATGTCTGCTGTTAGGGACCTCTCTAAAGTACTCAAGAACAACGGTGTCTCTCTGGAGACTAAGGTGCGCCTGATACAGACCATGGTCTTTGCAAATCGCTTGTTATGTATCCGAGAGTTGGACAATGACTAGAGAGGACAGAAGGAGAGTTGAATCCTTTGAGCTGTGGTGCTGGAGAAGAGAACTGAATGTACCATGTACTGCCAGGCAAACAAACAGATTTATCTTGGAGAGGATTAAACCAGGCTACTCCTTGGAGGCAAGGATTCTGGGGCTTCGTCTGACATACTTTGGACATGTTGCCAGGAGGGACGGGTCCTTGTAGAGGGACATCATGCTTTGGAGGGTGGAGGGACAGCGCAGGAGGGGAAGACCCTCTATGAGATGGATTGATTCGGTGACTGGGGTAATTGGGATGGGTGTGTCAGAGGCAGTGCGGTTGGTGCAGGACAGAGCAGGGTTTAGGGCTGTTGTGCATAGGGTCGCTATGAGTCGCAAACGTCTCAACAGCACATAACAACAGCAACATCACCTGGATTATTTTTTTATGATATCCTTTCTTCTACTCCTCTTGCTCTTGTTTTTCTAACATTTTAAACCTAACTTCAAGTCACATGTCATTTCAGCCATACGTATCTTATGTATTCTACATATATCTCTAAAAAACATGAATTTTTCCATATTTGACCTAATCCCAATTCATTGCAATCATCTAATACCCAATCTGTATTTATAATTCTTAATGTCCTCAAACAGTTCTAATTATTTTCCTCAAATGGTTGTAATATTGAAGAAACTATTCCCTCACTCAAGCCCATGGATCTCTTTTTTAATAGAATGTAGTTAAAATTAATTGGCATTTATTAAATGCTTACCAGGTGCCAGATATCTTAGCAATATCTTAGTATTACCTCACTGCTGTACTTTCATGCCTACCTAACTCTAGCCTTCCTGCTAAATTGATAATCTTCATACTTCCTTGTCATAGTGCCTCAGCCAATGGTTTGTATGTAGTTGTTGCATTCTGTCAAGTTGTAGCCCACTCATAACTTTTGACCCTCCAACAACTTTTCAGAGGTTTTTCATTATGTGAGAGAATACCCGGCTTTCTGTTTCCAAGCAGGATTTGAATCATTTGCCTTTAGGTTGACAGCAGAACTCCTTACCTACTAGGCCACCAAATTCACTTTGCCTGTAGTGGAACCTTAATAAACTTTCGATACTTATTTGCTGTCTACTTGCCTTATTAATAGAGAACTCTTTTAGCCCATGTAAGCTCCTGATAAACCATTGTTGATCCCTGCCCTTACCAAGCTCAGAAACTCTGATCTGGATCTGGGTGCGAGCTGTCAAAGGGAATATGGGTCTGTGGTCAGTGGGGACACAATAATACCGTGAACTGACACTGCCAAAGATTCTGAGTCATGAAAATGCTATTTATCAACCTTACATGACGAGCACCCACAGAGAATAATCAGAACCCTGTGTTGATACTGTCTGCACACAACGTGTTCCTTATAAGTTATTGTAACCTTGCCAAATGGCTATTTATTACCATAACTCTAGTTCTGACTTAATATTTTCAGAATGCTTACAGGATTTTTAAAAACGATGCTGAAAAACGTGAAATGTTTTTTTAAATTTTAAAAACACAAAACAAAACAACTCATCCCCACTGTTGAGAATCCAGATAGCCAAAAAAGGAGAATCCACCTATGCTTAATAAATACATAATTGTATAGATGGTGTTATGACCTGGTATTAAATTGTTCTTGTATCTTCACTTGGCAAAACATATTTAGAGAGCTCTAGCGGCCCAGTGGGTAAGGAATTGTGCTGCCCACCCAAAGACAGATAGTTTGAATCTACTAGCTGCCCCACAGGACAAAGATGGGTAGTCTCCTCCTGTGTAATTTATAGCCCCTGAAAGCCTGCTGGAGGGTTAGCTGTGTGTTGGTTCTGACTTGACAGGAGTGAACAACAGAGCATATTCACCATTTCCCTCTGGGAGTCTTAGCTTTGAAGAATGCTATCAAGTATTCTTTAAGCTTCTATGCATGAATTTAAAAATAGTCCCCTAAATGTTATACGTTTTGTAGGAATAAGAACTGGTTTTATAAAATAGTTCCCTTTTTGTGAAGCATATTGAGTACCCCTTTTTTTGGGGGAAAAAGAATGTTGTAGAGTATCTTAAGGCAGCTTCCATTTTATGAGTATTCATAAACATTCTAGTCAGACGCGGATATTTGGCTGTGCTTTTAAATGTTTTCACACTGAATTCATATTGTTTTTTTACCCCTTCCGGAAGCCCCAGTGGATTCATTACAGTATGCTGCAGCTTTATCCAAGTAAAAGACTGTTTATATAAACTACTTAAGCAATGTTATCATTTGTTTTGATAATGCAGAAATAAAATATCTGGAGATAACATGCTCATTTTTATCTGTCACTTCAAAAAGAGTTAAATTTGTGTATTTTAAAATAGATGCAGTTATTTGTCTTGATTATCAGATAAACAGAAGAAAATTTCTCATGACATTATTTTGGTATTTATTTCCAAAGCCAATTTCTTAGTACTTTTTTTAAAGGAATAATTTAATTTTCAAAGCTAAAATAAAAACTAAAGCTAATTACATATCAGTACTTAACCTATTATATCATGTTACTTTGTCTACTTATGATTAAGGTCTCTAGATTGTTTATAAATATAGGGCAAATATAAATATTATTTATGCTTCAGTACAAGATAATTGGTTAAATGATAAAAACAGTTTTTATTTCTTAGTGTTTTGAGGACGATTCATTTGTATATTTATTAAATTTAAATAAATATAATTTGTAGTTTTAACTTTACTGCATAGCAAAATAGTTGAGCCCTTTTTTCTTTCAGATAAAAATTAACATCTCAAGGAAAAAGTCTGCCCTATAATAGTGTGTGAACTTTTTAGAGAGATGATTTTGTGAAATTGTCTTGCATGCTTACTTGATTTCCATAATGAAGTGATTTTATTAAAATGATTTTATAAAAGAATTTAGTAGTGATTTTTTTAAAAAAATGACCAGTGTATTTATTAGCAAGGAATGAAAATCATTCAGCAAAATCCTCCTTCTAAGGGAGCTCTGGTGGCCTACTGGCAAGAAGCTGCACTGTAATCCCAGAGATAGATATTTCTAATCCACCAGATGCTCTGCTGGAGAAGGAGGGGCAATCTCCTGTATCAGTCAGATTTGATTTGATGGTACACACACACAAAATAATAAAATTTAAAAAAAAAATACCCTTCTTCTAATACTAAAATTTATTCTGAAAAATGAATTCATAAAAGTGGTGAGCCAAATACTGTACAGACTTCCTTGACATTGAAAAAAATGAATCTGAAAAGTGTACCTCTCTTTAAAGAATTCAGTCTTAAAAGAATGAAGAATTAGAATTAGTCAGATGATATAGATACTAGGTGAGTGCAGAAATGGGTTAAGTATTAAATTTGACAAGTTCAAGAACAGAAAAACCTTGAACCAAATGACATCAGGTTGAAATAGTAAATAGACTTAGGGATGAAGTGGTAGATTAAGAAGTCCCCCAGGATGGATTGACACTGTGACTTCAGCAATGCGCGCTAGTGTCTCAGAGATGATGAGGATGGCACCGGATAGGGCAGGTTTCAGGTTGGGTATGGATAGGGTTGCTATGAATGATAATCAGTTCAACAGCACCTAGCAATAACAACAACAACATTGTGCATAACTTGCTTGGAAAAGTAGAGAATCAAAGAGAGGAAAACTCTTAATGAGAGGAATTGACACAGTGACTGCAACAGTGGGCTTCAGTGTGGCAGAGATTGCGAGGGTGACATAGGTTTTAATTTGTTGGTGGCAAGGTTTTGATATGTTGTTCATGGGATTTGTGAGTCTTGGTCAACTCAGTGGCACCTGTCAACAGTAACATTGCATATATAAACAGTAAAAAAAGTTTTTGAGTTATTTACTGTTTACTGAGCTTTTATTTCCCTTTACTTTAGCAAGTGCTATGACCTCTGGAGTAGTAGGTAAAATAGCTTAGCTATATTTTTCCCCCTTCTTTTTTATTTTTAAATTTTTTAAAAAAATTTATTACTTTGTGTGTGTGTACCATCAAAGCGGATCTGACTGGTATAGGAGGAGATTGCCCCTCCTTTTCCAGCAGAGCATCTGGTGTATTCAAACCAGATATCTCTGGGATTTCTGTGCAGCTTCTTGTCCCCTTCTTTTTAAAATTCTTAGATAAATTTTTATTTTATGCTGGTGCTTTCGAAGTTTATATACATGGTTTTTCACACTGAATCTTTCCTATTTCCTTTACCGACCCCCCCTTCTATCCTTAACATCATGCAACGCTATGATTACCCCCTGCTCATCCTCACCCGTCTGCTCCCCTTCTCCCCCCTTGGATCCTCATACCCATTTTAGTAGTATTTTTCTATTTCTACAATAAAGTTATTATATCATATTTGTCCTTTTGAGACTGAGTTAGTTCACTTAACACAGTGCTCTCCAGTTCCTCCCAAGTTAGGTAGTAATTCTCGAAATCCTTGCTCTTGCATGCTCTGTAGTATTCCATCATGTGGATGTATCACAGTTTCTCAATCCATTCAGTTGTGATTGGACTTTGGGGCTGTTTCCATGTTCTTGCAATGGTATATAACACTGCTATGAACATTGGTGATAAATCTCCATTTGTGTCTCAGTTCTCATTCTTTTGGGGTCTATTCCAAGCAGTGGGATAGCTGCTGACCAAATCTTTTAACTAGAAAGCACTCCTGTGACACTAGAGGGAAATGCTTTAAACCAAGCACTGGGAAAGATACTTAGTGGCAGAGCTGTCTCTAGACGGGGATTCAAGACACTTTATCCTATCATATTGAGATAAGGTTTAGGTAAGCATAGGTAAAGGAGGAGATAGTGTTTCATCATCTGGTACCACGCATGTGAGAGTGAAGTGTGCTATAGATGCATGCTTCTTAGAGTGAGATCCATACAGAGCTGTTACTAGTTGATTGGAAGATGTTGCTACCTGGTTTCTTTTTTTGTTACCATTGTGTTGTTTAGTGTCAGTTCCTTGAAAGTGGTTGATTTACTGAAGCTTAAAGTTAGTGATAGAAATAGCAGCACAAATAAAGTGTGAATATCAGATTTGCATATCAGATCTATATATGTGAAACAAGTAGAATTGCCAATATCAGCATTTCACACAAAAACCAAAAAAGGTAAGTTTGGCTAGAAGTGTCTGTTACAGAATTTTATTAAACTCCTTCTTCACTTAGGAATGTCTGGTGGCCTAATTGTAAAAGGAGTTGTGCTGCCAGCCCATTAGGCATATGTTCAAATTCGCCAGCTATTCCATGGTAGAAAGATGGGGAGTCTCCTCTGGTGTGATTTACAGCCTTTGAAAACACTTTGATACGACAGCTATGAGTTGGTTCCGACACCATGGTACACAGGAACAACAGCTTACCCATTTATTCCTAGGAACCAGGGTATTAGCACTGAAAATTTTCAAATACTAAAAAAAAAAAAAAAAAAAAAAAACTTTTCAAATACTGGCATGAAGTTCCCTCCCTCTCTCTCTTCTTTCTTTCAGTACAGCTGAGTGATATATAATCTGAAAGTAACCAGACTTTCAGATATATGTTGTCTATTCTACTCTCCTCCCCATTTTTCCACTGACTGCTTGGGCAGGGCCAGGGTTCTTTATAGGAATTTGCTTTTACATTCTGGATATGGACCTTTGAAAGTTATTCAGCATTTCACTTTAGCTTTGGAACTCTGGTGGCCTAGTGGTAAGGAATTGCCCTGCCAACTCAAAGGCAGGCAATTCGAGCCCACAATCTGTCCCACAGGAAAAATATGGGCAGTCTTCTATGTGATATATAGTCTCTGAAAATTCACTGGAAAAGTCAGCTGTGAGTTCTTACTTTTGTAATTTTTTTTCTTTTTTAATGGTATCTCCTGAGAAACAGAAATAACCTTTTTTGCTTTGTGTTTAACTTTGTAAGTCTAGATCCACAGATGAGTGAGTGTTCTTCAGATGAACCTGGTTGGCTTAGCACTTTGCATTCCTATGTAAATTTTGGAATTCACTTATCGGTTATTATGAAAATGTGTATGGGGTTGGAATCATTGAGGGGTAAATTTGAAGTAAATATATATTGTTAATTATCACATCTTGAGTCCACAAACATGATACATCTCTTAATTTTATATTTCCTTTAATTTTTTTTCAGTGTTCATTGTTTCTGCATAGAAGATTTTTACATTTTAGGTATTTCATCATTGTTGTTGTGTTCAGTCAAGTAGGAACCAACCCACAGCTGACCTTCCAGCAGGTTTTCAGAGTCAGTTAATCGCACAGGAGGAGATTGCCCGTCCTTCTCCCTCTGGAGCTGCTTGCTGGTGGTTTCAAACTCTGTGCCTTCAGGATTGCAGGACAGCTTCTTACCACTAGGCCACCAGATCTCCCTATTTTATCATTACTTGTTATGAATTATCTCTTTACATTTTTTTATCTTTGCCTTATGATTGCTGAAATACAGAAATGTAGTTGACTTTTGTCGACCGAGAGCTTCTTAAATTCTCTTGTAAATTCTGCATACTTGGATTTTTAGAATATAAAATTCATCATTAAATAATGTCATTCCTACCACTTCTTCATCTTCAATTCTTATACCTTTTTTCCTCTCTTTTTTGTCTTGTCTATTATTCTTCCTAGGATTTAGAGTTAAGTGCTGGTAAGAATAGAGGGCATTTCTACATAATTTCTAATTAATATATTGTTGTTGTGTACCATCCAGTTGGAGCTGACTCATAGCTGACCCTTGTGTGGGTCTTCAGGAAGTTAATTGCACAGGAAGAGATTGCCCATCTTTCTCAAGGCACAGCTAATGGATTTGAACTGTGTGCCTTTGGGATTGCAGTGCAGCTTGTTACCACTGGGCCACCAGAGCTCCCTATATTGTTAGTTGTAGATTTATTGTAGTTCAAAAAAATGCCTTTCATTTTATTGAGAAAATGTCTCTTTCTAGTTTATTAAGAAGATTCTTATGAGTGATTATTGAACTGACATGTTTTTCTTCCTCCCTCTGTTAAGATAGCAAATTCCATTGCTTGACATTACTTTTATTTCAAATGTTAAAGTTGTTATCAAGTTGACTATTAAATGGCACCAATGTAAATGGCTCTACCTCCATTTACTTTAAATAAAAATTACTAAATATTATTCAGGACTATATTAAAATACCAGTATTATACAGAAATGTATAAAAATCATGTATCAAATCCACCAGATGCTCTGCCGGGAAAGGAGGGACAATCTCCTCCTGTACCAGTCAGATCTGATTTGACGGTACACTCACACAAAAATAAAAAAAAAAAATCATGTAAGAAATCAAATGTAAGGAAGTAAAAATCATCTCAAGTTCACCATTCTTAGGTAATCACCCATTGACATTTTAAGGTCATTCTTTCATATTTCTATGTATCTGTACTTGTACGTAATTGAGATCCTGTCTTGCTGTCTGTACTATGAATTAAACTTTATATAGTTGGATAGTAGACAGAATAATACACAGCGCTCTATGTTGTTAAAGAATTCCTGCTTACTTTCATCTTATCAGGTCAAAGTAGGCAATGAAGTTGCTACTGGAACAGGACCTAATAAAAAGATAGCCAAAAAAAATGCAGCAGAAGCAATGCTATTACAGCTTGGTTATAAAGCATCCACGAGTCTTCAGGACCAACTTGACAAGGTGAGAATTCAACTTTCATGTCTTTAAACCCATTTCTGTCAGAGTATTGAGTTAATTAACAAATCTGGTCTGCAAACTTAACCCATCTCCTTTAATAGCTGTTAAGACATTACTTAAAGCCAAGGAATATTTATATTTTTAAAAATAGATGTACTAGATAAAACAAATCTAATATGGTACTGTGATAGAATATTAATGAATATTGTAATCTTACAGTTAGCAGATACTAAAAGAGTTTGTTTTATGTTTCTGCTCTATTTTGTATAATACCAGTTTAGCTTATTGGTTGGTTGGTTAAGCAGTCTTAATTTGTGCCTTTTAAGAAAAGGAGTTGTTACCCTGTGTTTCTTGGGATACAGCTGAAAACACTGAAAATAAAGATCCTTTAGGGCCGGAACTATATTGGATAGACACTCAATAAAGTAATTTTTCTATTTACTTTAAATTTAAAGGTAAACTCAGAGGGTGTTTATTTTCTGCCAAGATCTGTGTTCCTGGCCCCCTGTTTTTCTGCAGCAGTAAATGACATCACTAACACCTGCCTCTGTTTGCGGAAGAATCAGAGAGCCCGGAATTCAAAGTTTCAGAGATGGCTAGGTAGAGGGCCTGGTTTAATGTAATTTTATTTTTATTATTATAATTTTAGAAAATACGTGTTTATGTGGAAATTAGTTTTATATAACATTTTATTCTAATGAAAATTAATTGATCAGTTACTGTTTTTATCAAAATTAACAGGCCACTTTTACATAACATTCTGGTTTAAGAGATTATTTATAGTTTCTATGTATATGCTTCTGAAGTTCAGAGTAAGAACTTATTCTCTAAAACATTTGTTATACTTGTCTTTTAAAGATAACTTTGAATATCTATATTATCCTTATAAGTAACTAAAAAATCATTTGTCTATATGATGTTCGTAGTGGCTTCAATTCTGTTATTAAAAGCTGGCTAGTCAGTGCTTTTTCTTCTTTTAAACTTATTTGTAACATGAAACCTCACATGTGTTCAAGTTTCTGGATTTCTTATATTGTGTATATGTTACTTTAGCTTAACTCATTTATATTGACTTAAAATTGCTGAGTGATTTTAAAAAATATGTGTCAAAATAAACCTCACAGCCATTATTTATAAAGTGAAGATAAAACAAAAGCGGTATTAATTGAACTAATTATTTTTATTAATTTGAAAAATACTTATTGTATGCCCACAAATATCAGACACTTATTAATTTAATTAATAATAAAAACCTGAAACTTGATCTTTAATTTAAGACTGAGTATTGTGTGGGACATGATCATATGGTACTTCCTGAAATATTTTGGTGTTCACCAACTCTTTTTGGTACAGTGATTCTGTGTACTCCCTCCCATCTTCTTTTAATGCTTCCTGGATCATTTGAGATTTTGCCTAGAGAATCTCTCAGTATTGCATCTCAGGGCTTGAATTTGTTTTTGAGTTTTTTCAGCTTGAGAAATGTTAAGCAGGTTCTTTCCTTTTAATTCTCAAATTCCAGGATGAGGATGAGGAACTTTAATAATGCAGCACACTATCTTGGGCTCTGTATATGTAGTACAGAATCTATAAGGATGAGTCTGGGAAGTCAGGAAGAACTGAGATCACAATTTTATTTCAATCTCCATAGACCACAGAGTTTCAGTGTTGTGCATGGGATAACTATGCCTGACCACCCTCACTGCAGCTAACAACAGTGGTGAAAACTTTGAGGTGTCATTAATTGAAAACTTGAGCATGAGAGTGACCTGATGTGATTTGCCTTTTTAAAAGAACACATGTTTAATGTGAATGGATTTGATCAGGATGAGAATAAAGGTGAGAGGCCATGTGGGAAGCTAGCCTTGTTTTTCAAGTAAATATGATGAAGTAAGCACTGGAGAGAGGTAGTTCTGTTGTTGTTATGTGCTGTTGAATCTAAACAGCCTCGTAGCTGACCCTCCAGCAGGTTTTCAGAGGCCGTAAATTGCACAGGAGGTGATTTATTTTTCTCTTGTTGAGCAACTGATGGGCATGCCTTTGGGCTGGCAGCACAACTCCTAACTCACTAAGACACCAGAGAACGAGAGAGGACAAAAGAGGAAACCAGAGATATGCCAAGTTTAACTGATGGGATTTGTATGGGTTTGGGTGGTATAGGAAAAAGAAAGACGAAAATAACTGCGCTGAGGAAGAGAAATGACTTTTAAGTATTTGTTGGTAGTAATATGTGTATGTGAATTAAAGGGCTAAGTTGTTTATCAGTATCATACATGGTGAGCATGGCAAAAGCAATTTTTCAAAAGAAATCATAAGAAGAGTTTTTATACAGAGCTGGTTTTGTTTGTTGTTATTTTTAACTAGGTAAAACATACATCATATTAAAAATTCAAACCCACAAAAGGTTGATAGTGAAGAAGATACAGGTCTCATCTCAATCTTTAGACTTTTGATTCATGGTCATCTTCCCAAAGGCATCTTGCACAACAAGTTATTATTTGGAAAGCATTCAGAATAATTTCTGAAATACAGTGATGTTATGTAAGAGTTTGTTAAATATATATACACACATATTCTTACCAAGTATTCTGTGCTTGTGTACTTCTGTCAGATTTGGTGAGATGCAATCCAATAAGTTTTAATCTAGATACTTCATTTAACTATCACCACAATTTAGATTTATAATTTCTCCTCCTTAAAAAGTTTTACAATAACCTTTGAACTTATTTACTTTCCCTGTCATCAGTGTCTGGCAAAGCACTGATCTGATTTCTGTTTATTAAATCATGCATTTTGCAGCCTTTTATGCCTGATTTAATACTTAGCATAATATAATTTTGCAGTTCATCCGAGGTATTATGTTTCTTATTAGTTCATTCCATTTTATTATGTGGAGGCACCAGAATTGATTTATATATTTACTGACATTTGGGTTGTTTCTGATTTGGGGCTATGAGGAATAAATACAGTGAGTATAAACATTTATGAACAGAATTTTATATGTACTTTTTTTTTCTTTGTGAGAAAAACTTGTATTTAGAATTAGCCAGCTGAACTCAGTTTAGATGATCCCAATTTTGTTGGCAACATCCAAAGGATCATAGTCCAGAGCAGGTTGAACATAGGCCTTCTTCTCTCCATCAGGCCTAATCAAAGTGTTGACTTTAGCCACATCAATATCATAGAGCTTCTTTACAGCTTGTTTGATTTGGTGCTTGTTGGCCTTGACATCCACAATGAACATAAATGTGTTGTTATCTTCTTCATGACTGACTCAGTGGTCAGGGGAAATTTGATGATGGCATAGTGGTCAAGCTTGTTTCTCCTCGGGGCGCTCTTCCGGGGGTATTTGAGCTGCCTTCAGAGTCTCAGCGTCTTCGGCCGCTGGAAGGTGGGTGACGTGCAGATCTTTTTTTTTTGGCTGTGGATGCCCTTCAGGACTGCCTTCTTGGCCTTTAATGCCTTTGCTTTGGCTTCAGTTTTAGGATGGGAAGGGGCTTCCTTTTTTGCTTTCAGCGCCATCTTCATAGAAAGCATACATATTCTTATGGTAGGGAGCTCTGGTGGCTGAGTGTTAAGAGGTACGCTGCTATCCCAAAGGCATGTGGTTTGAATCCACTAGCTGCTGTGCAGGAGAAAGATGGGCAGTTTCCTCCTGTGTAGTTTATTACCTCTTAAAACCCACTGCAGGGTCAGCAATGAGTTGGTTCCAGCTCAGACACAACAACATCCCTATAGTACATTGTGTATATTTAACTTATAATAAATAGTAAGATTTTCTCCATGTTTAAGATTTCCGGTGGCTCCACTTTCTTTTAGGCTCTGGGTATTAACAGTATTGAACTCTGATGGCAGTAGTAGGTGTGTGGTACTGTTTTATTTAGCTTGACTTTGCATTTCCTTGTGTGGTTCAGTGTCTCTTGCTTTTCAGCTAAATGGTTAGAAGTTCAAGTTGATGCACTCAGAAGTGCATCAAAATTTGGTGATCAACTTTGGAAAAATCAGTGGTTAAAAACCCAGTGGAGCTTTGCTCTCCTCTGACATGTGTGACTAACAGTGACTATTAATGCATTTATTAGCCATCTTTTTATCTTCTTTGAAGTATCTTCAAAATTGTTGCCTTCTCACTCCAAGCTGTAAAATTGTCCTTCTTCTTGAATAGTAAGAGTTTGTATAAATTTTAGATACAAGTGTATAAGTGTTTACATCAGATAGGTACAGAGGGTCTACAGCTTATTATAGATTTTAATTATATCAAGCAGTATTTATGATTATCAGTGTATCTGGAACATTGCATCTTCCTAGGAGGAAGTTACAGGAAAATTAACAGATATAGGGAAAAAGGCTGAGTATATGAGCACACGCCAAGCCTTTGACCAAGATAATAGAATGGGCAAGATCATTAGAAAAGGTATACATATGACAAGAACAGTGAATTTAGAACTGATAACTCTGATGTGGAACAGCTCATAGATTATAATGAAAATAAATGATTACAGCTTACTGGATTTTAAAGAGAAAAGAAATGCCAAAGAAGAGAGTAATTACAAGTAGAAGGAAGGAAAATAGTTGTAAATATTTTTTACCATGAAAGGATCTAACGGACTTTCCCAAACTCAATCAGAGGCTTCAGCTACTTGCTGAACTTGCTTTACTAAACTCAATAAGCAGATTTGGGAAGAAGTGAAATACATTAAAAGAGAATGAAAAGACCCGTGCAGACAACTTGTGTGCCATCACTATTTCTAGGAATAAACCAGAACCTTCCACAAGTAGAGTTATTACTGCAATTTAAAAAAGGGGCCAGTGTTGTTTAACTCTTGTCTCAGTAATTTTTTTATGATTTGTATATTTCTGTTATTTATGTATTAAGATAAGGCTATAAGCTCAACCTCCAGTGACAAATATTAGATTTATAAAAGGAAATATATTTACGGCATTGAAGTCTTTGCGGGAGAGAATATGTTATATTTTAGGACATTATGTTTATCGTAAGAGTACGGAAT